CCTGGAAACGATGCACTAATTACCTGAAGTGAGCAAGAACACATCTTGCCAAATCTTATCTCATTTTTGACTGGTTAAGTTCCTTAGCAGCTTGTGCAAATGCTGCAGATACAATATATTTGAGGAAGCACTCCATGACATGTTAATTACCAAGCTAGTTACAGTAGGTGCAGGCTGGACTGGATATATACACTTGGCTTGAAAATTATACAGTGATCATCAGAGCCTCCTCATCACAGCAGAAAGAAGTATAAATTGGGGATAGTCCTAGGTTCTATACTTTGCAATATTTTGATTAATGACTTGGATGAAGAGGTAAGAAGCAAGCTTATGAAATCTGCAGATGGCACAAAACTGAACAGGGTAGTGATACCCTAGAAGACACAAGTAACAATAAAAATGATCTTGGTAAGTTGGAGAAAAGGGCTGAGAGAAAGACAGTGAAATTTAAAAGAGACAGGTGCAAAGTTAGGGTTAGGATTCTGGCAGCTAAAAACAGTTTGACATGGAACTGTGATGGAATGGAATTATGAAGGCCAGGCTCAGGGAGATAAGCGTTTTCTTAGTTCACTGAAAGAGTGTGGGAACTACAAGAGGATGAGGCTGGCACCTCCCTGAGGAATTCACGGTGTTGTGGCTGGCTGGCTCCGGAGCTGGGGTTTCAGTCTGGGAAGATTCTTGCTAGAGGTTGTAGCTAATAAACATAGCTGAACTGATTTTGCATTGTCTCTTGGAGTTCCTTGGGCTGACATCAATCTTCGCAGACTAGAACCCCAGCTCCCGAGCCAGCCAGCCACAACACCATGAATTCCTCAGGGAGGTGCTAGCCTCATCCTCTTGTAGTTCCCATGCTCTTTCAGTGAACTAAGAAAATGCTTATCTCCCTGAGCCTGGCCTTCATAATTCCATTCTATCACAGGAACCCATGACTGAGAGAAGCCGTGGGTTTTCTTTGCTGGATGCATTAAATGCCGGGTGCAAAGCCATCTGTTAGGAATCGCTTAAATTGGATTCTTATGCTGATCTGGGGGTTGGCTTAAATGGTTAATTTCAACATTACAAATCTTTTCACATAAAACAATCTCTGTACATAGTACATTACAGATTGTGCAAAGCAAGAACATAGATCCCTAATCCAGGCAGTTAAACTTTAATTGGAGAAAAGAAATGTAAAAGATGCACAAATACAAGTAGTCCTCCCTTAACACAGTAATTGGGACTGGAATTTCTGTTGCTAAGTATGTGGTCATAAAGCATGACATCACATGACCATATCACTAAACAATGGTAATCCTGGCACTTCCAGTTGCTGTTGCTAGGTGACGATTGCAGGTTGTTAAGTGAGAACCTCACGCGACCAAAACTTGTGACTTCCTGCTGGTTTCCAAATCAATGGGGAAGCTGGCAGGAAGTCACAAGTCCTGAGTGGCTTGCAAGCAGGCCAGTGGGTGTGTGAGTGCTATGGAGTGTGGCTGGGCAGGAGAGTGCTGTTGCACCACGCAAGTCTGGGTGAGTGGGGGAGGGATGCTGTGGTGAATAATCCTAACCCTAGGATCTCGTACTGTGTAGTGGGCTCCTCGGGAGAAAAAGCAGCGGGAGTGACTTATGGAAGCGATTTGCAACCTTCCCTGCCAGCTTCCCCATTGACTTTGGTTGTGGGAAGCTGGCAGGGAAGGTTGCAAATGGCAATCACATGACTGTGGGTCACTGCAACCATTGGAAGTGTGAGCTGGTTGCCAAGCGCCTGAATCACAATCACATGACTGTGGGGGTGCTACGACGGCTGGAACTTTGAGGACTGGTTGTAAGTACCACTCGTTCAGTGCTGTCACACCTTTAAACAGTTGCTGAATGAATGGTCGTTAACCAAGGACTACCTGTACATCAAGAAGCCCTTCAAAGAATTTATAGTAATTGCTTTGAAAATTTGAGATTCTAGCAGACAAGATGGCAAACGTGGGCTGGACTATCCATTAGATATCCATCTACAGAAATGGTTGAACAAGTATATGTATATCAATGACTTGAAACAGGTACTAGGTGGAATGCCACAGGGCTCCATTCTAGGCCCTGTAATATTCACCATATTTAGACTTGGTTCAAGGATTAAAATATGATTATCAAATTTGCAGGTGATACAAAAATAGGGGGGATAGTATATACCTAAGATTACCTTAGTGTCATGATTCAGGAGGATGTTGACAAACTGGAATAATGAGCAGGATGAATTTCAACACAGACAAATGCAAAGACTTATGTCTGTGAAGGAAAAATCAAAGGAACAAGTATATGATGGGGGAGACCATATTGGGCAGGATCTGGGTGTCTTGGTGGATCAACAGATTGAGCCAACAGTGTGATGGCACTGTAGAAACAGCAACAGCAATGCTCGACAGCATCAACAGAAGTCAAAATCAGTGTCAAGATCAAGAGAAACCATAATTAATCTCTATTCTGCATAGATTATTGCATCCAGTTCTGGGCATATTTTATAAACAATGTTGACAATCTGGAGCATATTCATAGGAAAGCAACTAACATAATAAGGACTTGCAAATGTGGAAGGGTTAGAGGCACTTAGCCTGGGAAAGGAGAAGACTGTAGGGAGACACAACAGCTGCCTCCAGGTATCTAAAAGGCTGTCATGTAGAAGAAAGTTTTGCGTTTTACTAAGAAATACAAGACTTGGGTTTTACATCAAGAAGAATTTCCTAGTGGTAAATGCTGTTCAGCAATGGAACAGACTGCCTTAGGAGGTGGGACTTTTCTTCACTGAGGGCGTTTAAACAGGTGGGTGCCGCAGTAGCAGATTCCTGCAGAGGGCTGGACCAGATGATTTCCAACGTTCTAACATTTCCACACTATCCTTCCTTGAAAATCAGGAATTTCTGAGACTGGTAGACAATGCCCAGAGTCAGGGACAAATGGGTAAATGCCAATTTTGCCCTGAGCTCCTCTAGGATGGCTGCTTCTGACAGGGCCACTCCAGAAATTGGAGTCACCAAGAATGGGCAACCTTTTCTCTTTAAAGGGTTCATTCAGAGGCAATCTACTGGAAGGCTATAAAGTCATGAAAATTGTGGAATTGGAAAAGACCACTGATCACAAAGGATCGGATCTTCTAGTCTGATTCTTTGCAATGTGCAGGAAAACCAATTAAGCCATCCTTGAGGGCCAGCTGTCCAGCCTTTTCTTAAGAGGCTATGTTGTGGGCAAGCTAAATTAAGCAGTTTAAAGTGAGCAGGGCCACCCGTCTTCTGCAGGAAAGGGACAGATAGCTGTTACCAGAGATCCGAACTGATGATTTATAGAAGGCCTTTGAAATTAGGCTACGCGCCACAGACTGCCGTCACCTCTTTGCTGTAGACAGATAGGACTCTTATTTTTAATAATGCAAGCTGTCAGTGCCACACACAAATTGTCTTGATCTTGCTGACATAGTTCCTCTAAATGACTCTTTGGTCTGAGGAGGAAACAAACTTCACCAGGACCAGGTTTCTACAAAGATAGTTTCTACAAAGATAGTACAAAGATACAAAGACCAGGACCATCTTCAGAAATGCAGATGGCTCAGACTGATGAGTTAAAAGGGCTGAGGGGGCAGGAAATGGCTGATCTGAATGGTCATAAGTGAGCTTTACGTCAGTCTGGACGTAATATTTTCCTTCAGAGCTGTCAGGCATTTGAAGGAACTGCTTGTCTTACCATTGCATCTATGCTGCTTCCCAGGATCCCATGCACTCCTTATGTCAAGAGCAGAAGAGGAAGAAGATGGAGTGAAATGCGTGCCCAAGGCTCGGGCAAGAACTGAGAAGTGAAAGGAAGCGAGGCTATGATGTCTGGGTGCAGAGCTCCCACAGTCAGACTGCGGTTCAGTGGGTTCCTCTTCACACCATGGCACTTCTTTGTTTCTTGCCCAAGACAGGAGATGGGGGTTGCCGCAACCTAGCGCTCCTCTAGTTCCCGATTTCGCATGCCAAACCCATTTCCGCATTCCTCTAAAAAGTTTCTCATGAGACGAAGGAGGCCTAGCGTATCCTAAGATTTTTAAGCACAGTCTCTGCTCAGGTTTCCATTCACAGAATCTGGCCTGCACTTCCACAGGCGGGGGAAAAGGGCTTTTCTTTTCAGGCGGTCTCTTCTGAGCCTTGCAGGGCTGATGATCTGCACATGGTCTCCTCTCCTTCCTTCATCCTGTCACTTCTAATGGACAGCACTTGATGTCTTCACCAAAACGGTGTGTTCCATTACTTGTGTATTTCCAGTCTTGACTGGCTACGGAAATACTCATAGTAGTGAAATTCTGCTGCCAAAAAACTAAAAATAGGTTTTTAAAAGGTACTGTACTGCTTCCGTTAGCAAAATGCTGCTGCTTCTGTCTTACTCCTACCCACACAACATATCTAAATCTTTTAGTAATTAATTAATTCTATTTAGGCTATAATTACTCGATTTTCATAATTATTCTATTGTCTATAATCTATAGACAAGATTGTGATTTTTTTTTTTGCCATAACAAAAGAAAAAAATGCAACTAAACCAATAGATTAAGTCCAATCCCTCTCCCTGAAGGAATCTAATAAATTAAGGGGAAATTCATCACACTGAATGGGAACAATCTTACCCCACAAGGTAAATGCTATTAAGAACTTGGAAAAGTTCTTTGCTGAATAGGAATTGTACAGTATAGAAAAACCTTGATCCAGAGTAAGTGTGGTGTGGTGTCTCCTCTTTAATCCTGCTTCCAGCTAACTGCAGTAGTACAACATCTTAGAAATATTAAAAATTCTTAGCTGGAAACGTTTAGGGATTTTCCTGGGGGTTGGGGTGCATAGGAAGCCACTGCAGAAGTGTTGTGGATGGGTGCACAAATTCAGCATAGTTGGAACACAGCAAACAGTCAGGAAGACTCCCAGTTTTGGACAAGGCCATTCTGCAGTTCTTCCGTGGGGTAATGAGGAGCAGTTTCCCCAGAGCAAAAGGGGCCTTGACCCACTCACCGTTTAACCATTCACATGTAGCACTCCACTCACTCCAGGTTCCGTCCCATAATATCAATTTGTAGCGCACACTTGCTTCGTAGGTGGACCCCAGGCGGAGCTTGTCAGCAAAGATCTTATGGTGGGGCAAGACCTCTGGAAGAATGAGTTTCTGGGAAAAGAAAAACACATGTCAGTTATATTGCTACACACACACACGCTACAGAGAGTAAGGGAGATGACTTTGAGGGAAGTAGGCAAGACCTGTTACCTTGGCAAAGAGGGCTGAAACATTCCTTAAGTCCTGGGGAGCAAGATAACATCTGGAAGAGGCTGAGACAGACCCGCCCTGATGCACTGGGGTATAAGGAGGAGGGGAGGGTCTGCACAATCAGACTAGCAAGGTGCTGTTATTGAAGCCAATCCCAGTCCAGGTAGTTTTGGCCTTCCTGTGGAATTGATTTCCTGGTCAGGCCTACCCTAGGGGGCTCACACACACACACGCATACCCCCCCCCCCATATGTCCTTGAATCCTGAAGTGACCACTTTCTTTCTATTTCTCCCCAGTCGTAACCACAGGACCACAGACATGGTAATCCCTCTTGGAAGATGGCTGCTGAAGGAATGTGGCCTTTGCCAAGGCTGGAAGGAGGGAGGGTCCTGTGGGCTTCTACGACCTGGCAAGTCATGGATTTAATGCACGTCCCTCATTAGTTTGTATGTCTGTATGCTTTATGGGTTTTTAACATTTTCTTAGCTTTTAAAAACATTTTGAAAAATTTCCCAGCCCTGCCTACATTTTTGCATGTGGTTGTGATACGCTACTGAATAGCAGTGCAATCCTTAGCCCACATAGACATTTGAAGAACAATTTAACAACAGCTTTGCAGAAGAGATGTTCTTCTACAGATAACATGAAGTTGTCAGAGGCATCCTCTGGGGGAGGTGGGCGGCGTCTAAATTTAATAATAAATAAAAAAATTTAAAAATCCTACCTTGAAAGAATAACCTAGGCCTCCTTTCTTTTCAGAGGACAGACTGCCTCTGGCCCAAGGCAAGACTCAGGGCGCTGGGGTTTGACCTGGTTTAGAAGCATGTGAACTCTTGCTTTTAGATGTCTCCTGAGAAGAAGTGGAGGCTCCTGCTAGCTCAGGATTAGTTTTGCCTTAGGATTAAATGTGCGCAAAGTCTGGCCATCCTCTTATGACTGCTGAGGGAGCAGCTAAACGTTCAGTTTGTGCCATCATCCATCAGATCTGCAGTCTTCTTCCAGAGGAAGGGCAGGGCGGGGGTGGGGGGGCTTGCTTACCATTTCTGTATGGTTTTTCGGCCAATAGGCAACTTCATACTTTGCTGCAGCTTTGCAAAGGACATCTGAATTGTAATCCCGCTTCCAGGTAAGGATGAATGTGCGGTCTTTCCCCTTTCCAGCCGTCAGGTTTATCAGGGGCCTGGGCTTCGCTGCAGTTGTGAAGGAGTAGAAAAGAACGCTGAGATGGGGAGAGGTGAGACAAGAAGGATCTGGGAAAGGAAAACCCTGCAGAAGGAGCACTGGCGACTCAAAGCCCCTCTACATCCTTTCTCACTTTTTTCCATTTTAGGGGCTACTGTTGGAGGAAGCCCCACGGCGGCTCCTGCCCTCTATGTCCCTTAAACCCACGGGTTCCATTTCCTGCCCACCCGCTCTACACCAACCCTCTGTTAAACTGAGAACTCTCCAGGCAGAAGAGGAAGGAGCTGTCAGAACCCTCGCAATCAATCACTTGGACCGCTAGTTCGCTTGCTTCATTTCTGCCATTACAAAGAGAGGGGGGAAGGGGGGGAAGAGGGGGAATGTGAATCATTAGGCGCAGGTAAGCTGTTATCTCACTTCCAGGAATGCCCAAAGCCATACCAATGTGAGAACCTGAGGATATCTTTGACATGCGCAAGAGAGATTCCAAGACTGAAGGGGGGGTGAAATGGGGGTGAGGCAAAACTAAGTTTTGGCGCGCAGGGACTCAGTTCCAGCTATGCTTTAGAGCTGTTAACTACTTTCCAATAAATGAACTTTTCTTTGAACCTGCATTGGTTTCAATGGAAGTTGCTTTCATTGGGAACTGAGTACCACGGTTCTTACAGGAGGCTGGAGATACCAACCACTAGGATATTGCTACAGAATTCTTTGTGATCTTTGCCCGGGGAACAAATACAACTGCCGTTCTGGAAGCAGAACCAAGTGAGGCACTGAAGGTATTTTCTACTAAGGCACCCAGTCTTGCAAATGAATTCTCTCCACCTCCTTTTTCTTATGCAGCATGTTAATCATGCCAAGAGATCCCCATCCTGCCACCTGAAATCAAATTGCTATTCCTTAGGACTGGCCTAGGGGTGGAAAGAGGTTTGTAGGAAAAGCAAAGGGTATCTTACTAATAAGTCCCGTGTCCAGTGTCACGTTCCAGACTTTGGCCCTGTTCTCTGTCCTGACCAGCACTAAGTCATACATGAATATTCTGTAGTTCAGCCCCAGAATGATGCAAACGCAGTGGGAGGCAGCGCCTGGGCCTTGCTCATTCTTCGGAACACATTCCTGTGACTGCCTGGAAGAATGACAAGAGAGTCCTTCAAGCACACAACCCTCAGTTCATTTCTGCGCAACCTCTGCTTAGTCAAAGATGGTCTGCAGGGTCCCAAATACCCTTGCACCCCTTGGGTCATAGAGACGCCTCCTTCCATGATGGGAAGTCACAACTGGGGTGGGTAGAGCAACAGTTCCAAACCTTTGGGGCTGAAGGGCAAGTGGTTATGGGCAGGCTCACGAAATAGATGCTGCAGTCATTAAAGAAATCCTGCTGCTGAGACATATGTCTACCTCTTCACTTTTAGAGACCAAGTATTTGTGCTTGACAAGCCTGGTGTCACAGGTATAACTGATGACAGGCTATGACAGGCTGTCCCGGGCACAGCACATCTTCCCTTCACTAGCCCTCATCCAGTCCATTACAGGGATCAGGCAATCATCAGGCATCTGCTGCCTTGAAGAAGTGAAGTGAACCATCATTGGCGTACTGAAGGCAACCCACCCCCATCTCAGGATGGTCTCCCCTAGCACCAACTTGATGGCATGCAATCATCATCAAGTAGAAGAGAATGCTTGATGGTGATCATGTCAATGGCCCAAGTCAACACCATGTTGCTGTGTGAGCAGGGATGGAGGAAGTTGCACAGCTACTGCCAAGGTGTTTGGTGGTCCCTGGTGGATTGCAAAGTTGACCACCAGGTTCCCCAATCCCTGCAACGGTGAGGCTCTCTGCTTCATAACTGATTCCGTACCTCCTGCCCTTAAACAAAGGCATGGTTGCAGTTATACCCTTCAACACAACACACAGCTTTGCTAATACTTACCTTGCAGATTCTGCCCGGTAGAGGAGTTTAAACTCGGCGGTGCAGTTGGTAATGGCATCCACCTCCCAGCGACAAACCAGTTCGGTTTCAGAATCTGTGTGGCAGCTCGGCTGGCCATGCTTTGAAGACGCAACTAGGAATATACAAAAGAATAATTACTTGATGAAGCTGATTTGTTCAGATGAACGGTCTAGCATAGCTCAAGGTGATCTTCCCAAAGCCCCACCTGGACCGTATCCTTTTCAGAAAAGCAGGCCTCTTCGTCTCTTGGAGCAGAAACAAAACAACCCTACGGAACATTTGTGGGATTGCAGATTGGATTGCATTGCTACACAGTTGAATTAGTTCCATTGAAACAACAGGACTCTCAGAAGGCCTGCGTAAATATCTTTGGTTGGATATAAGCAGAAGCAGCCTGCCTAGAGGAGATTCCTTGGTTATAAATAGCAAATAAGTAAAGAGTGGGGCTGCGATAGAAGGTGCAGGCTGCTCTTTCTTAGGGTTAGTTTGTGCTTCCATAAGTGCAGCCACATACAATATTTCTTTGGCAAGGACATCCTATAAGGCTTTCACTGCTGCTGGATTTAACTTTCCAGCTTATCCTTGGAGGTCATTCTAGCTAAAGTCCGCCTCTTTCTGGAGAGTTATGATTCAACCCCGCTGGAATGCTGGCCGAGACTGTCGTATGCTTCATGCTGCAACCCAGGCATGGAAAGTCTTGGGCTGGGGACCTGTATACTCGCGAAAAGCTTACTTGATGGAAAATTTTAACTTTGAAAGATTTACATTTGCAGCTATTTTGGGATAAGATGGCCTCTCACAGCATAGCTACTTTCACAACTACTAACTACAATAGAAATACTGTTCTATTTTTGAAAATCTTGCAAAATTAAAAAAAAACCAAGTCTGATTTATTTTAGGCTTGGTCCAGATTACTCCTACTAGTTCAGGCGTTGTTACAGGTTTTGGAGAAACTAACTGCAGCTTGTAGGTTGGTAACCCTTTTTAATACAGAACGTCCTCACTTACTGACCGCAATTGGAACTGGCAACTCTTTCACTAAGCAACACAGTCATAAAGTGAAAAGTCACATGACTGTGCCCTACTTACGATGGCAGTTCGTCAGTTTCTGCTGCGGTCATTAAGCGAATCACTGCAGGTTGTTAAGCACAATGTCACGTGACCACCACTTGCAACTTCCTGCCAGCTTCCCATTGACTTTGCTTGTCAGAAGTTGTTCTGTGAAGGTCGCAAATGGTGATCATGTGACCGTAGGATGCTGAGACGGTAGTATATGCGGGCCAGTTGCCAAGTGCCCAAATTGTGATCATGTGACTGCAGTGACACTGAGACGGCCACAACATCGAGGACCAGTCGCAAGTCCCCTTATTCAGCGCATTGTAACTTTGAACGGCCGCTGAAGGAGCAGTTGGTAAGCAAGGTCTACCTGTAGTGGAAGGAAACTGATGAACCGGAATAACAAACTTGAATGTCTTGTCTTAGTAAACCAGTGAAGAACTGCTTTAAGCAATATGAAACTGTTTTCCTGTGCTTTTAAAACAAGGTTACTATTTGGCTCTGTCAAAAATATTAATAGTGTAGCATTACATTTGTTACTAGGGCATTGGATCAACTACTGTGAATTAAAGCTATACATGTTCTTCTTGGATATGTTCTCAGAATTTAGGATCTATCAAGACAACATGGAGGTTAGCTAAAAGAATTACCATGTAACACTAGAAAGAAAAATTTATGTCATCATTTGAAAGGGGGTTGTTGCTTTGCATGAAGGGCACAGAAGAGGACTTCTGAACAGCATGGTCATTTTTGGAGTTCTGCTGATAAATTAATTTCCAGCTTTTTCCCCCTTTCTATTATTATGAGCATTAAGTCTGAAGTTAATCCTGTTGAATTAATACTGGTCTATCATTAATTGTCCAGTTCAGCAAAATAAAATTATTTAAGAAGGTTTCCACGGAATGTCCATGGGGTGGGGTTGCGTGCGACTTTTTCGGTATGAAAAAAGTCAGGAGGACGCTGCAGATGCGCATTCACAGCTTTGCCCCTTTTTATTACTTATTTACTTAGCTATTATACCGCCGCCCTCTTGCAAATGCGATTCTAGGCAGTTCACAAAGACTCCACACAAACTAAGGCAAGAAAAACCCAACCAGCAGCTAGCACGCCTGTCCTCCGCAAACCTCCCGTGCCTGGGAAAAGAGCTACGCCTTTTACGTGCATGCCATTCTTGTAAAAAGGGGGGCTGCCAACGGGGGGAGTTGATCGTGCCTGCCATCCTGTTT